AAGGAGTCTGAAAAAAAATCTACTTATTTAGACACACTTGTATATACATGGATATGCTCACATACTGTTCACAAATATTTACTATCTGTTGTATTAAGCAAACTCATGACCACAGAGTTGGTGCCCAACAAAATTCTTCCCTTCCTCTCATCATCACTTATCACTTATCACTTAACTTCCCGCTAGTCGTCGATTTGCTCGAGCAGGTGCCAGTAACGTCTCCATTTGTCCCTGTCGCGTGCTAGTGTAGCCCAATGGCATCTGTTCGCTCCGGGAACAGGAAGAGCCTCAAACCGATCATTCATGATCTTGACGAAAAAGTCTGACCATCTGGTAGGTGGGTGGCCACGCGGTCTTTTGACATCCCGTGGAATCCAGTCGGTAACAGCTCTAGTCCAGAGGTCGTCTTTAAATCTCATTACGTGACCAGCCCATCTGATTTTCGACACCTTGGCAAATGAGACAGCGTCCCTGATTCTTGATCATTGATGGATGTCAGAACTCCGGATTCGTTCTCTCATTTGAGTGAAACGTGATATTCCAAGCATAGCTCTTTCTATTCTTCTTTGGGAGACCTGAATAGCGTTCTCATCTTGTTTGCGTAGGGCCCAGGTCTCTGAGGCATATGTTAATGCAGGAAGAACAGTGGAATCAAAGAGATGTGCCTGGAACCGGAGGTTCTTTGTCCTCTTAGCTATTGCTTCGACGTTTTTGAAGGTGTTCCAAGCCGCTCTCTTCCTCCTGCGCAGCTCGGGTGCCAGGTCATTTGTCATGTTGACCTCTCGACCTAGGTACACATAGCTGTTGCATTCGGAGATGGTTGTTCCATTGAGAGCGAATGGGGCATCAGGAACGAGGCTGTTTCTCATAAACATTGTCTTCGTAAGATTCAGCTGTAGTCCTACCTTTCCACACTCACGGTCAAAGTCGGCCAGCATTTGTGCCACTTGGCTGATGTTTGGTGTTATTAAAACAATGTCATCAGCAAAGCGAGGGGTCAAGAGAAGGGTGCGGCAGGGTGATACCATTTCACCGAAACTCTTCAGTGCCACCCTCGAGAACATCATGCGACAACTGGAATGGGAAGGAATGGGAGTGAAGATAGATGGTCGGCAACTACACCACCTCCTCTCATCATAGAGACAAGAAAAACATATAACCTGAACCTTTTGTCTATTACATTCAATTTGCTTCCATCTTGCTCCTTTATCTCTTGGTCTTCCATGAACCAGCTACTTGTTGCTCCCAACTCTTCCTGAATATTTGTGTTTAAGTGATTTTGCCTTTGTCAGATATCAAAAGGCTCCTAGAAGAATATAGTATCATCTTCAATTCTCCATACTCAGCTTCCATTTGACCTCTTCTGAGGTTTTCTCCAAGATATCAACTAAAGTCAATGCTCTCTGTCTGTTAATATTCATTAGCTTTTCAACTGTTCAGTAATGACTCGGAATTCGGAGTATTTTTATTTATTATATAACTGTATTTACAGGTAATTTCCACATGTATTCGTGTGGCTTACTTATTGAAAGCACAAAAGCACAGACTCATTAAAATTCAAATTTATAAATACTGAGGCCAACTTTTAGTGCAATAGTTTAATGTAGTGTGGAGAGAGGATGTTGTCCTAACTTGGGGGATGACATCTGAACACATTCTATATTCTCTGACTTCAAGTTTAGTCTACAAGTCTCATGGATGCTATAGAGTAGGGCTTTGTTTATTTTTTTTGAGGGGGGGTGCAAAATCTAATGTCTTAATTTCTCTATTCACAGCGATCACGATCACGATCATCCTGTTGTTCGTTCGTCGATTGCCTTGAGCAGGCACTAGTAACGTCTCCTTCTTCCTAGCTCTGAGATTTTAAAAGAGCCATTTCAATGCTCTTTCAGTATTAGGAGAATGAGACCCATCATTGTTACTGGTATTTGGCAAATTGAGTACAACAGGGGAAGTTTGCCAGACTCTGCTGTGCGGGCAGGATACTTTTGGCAGCCTGCCATGTTCTTCAAAGGAAAAATAAGATAATAAGATGTCGCGCAGCCGCGAATGCGGCCCCGCGCTTCCGGGAGCTGGGTTTTATAGTCTCTGCGTCTTGGCCGTTGATGGGACCAACCTGGCGTTGGCTGCAGCTGGTGGGTGTGATGCCTACCTACTGGAAGATGGGGGGTCTGGGTGGAGAAGGCCCAGGCCCAATCTGAGTAGGTTTAGAGACCTCAGCCCCGGGATCCGCATGCCTGGGTTCCTCTGCCAGTTCTTTCATGCATGAGGCCCGTCCGGACGTGTGGAGAGTGGTCCCAGCATGGCGGTGTCTGGCTCTGGAGGTCCTCAGCTGCTGGGGCTCTGCTCAGGGCAGGGGGGGAAGGGGAGAGAAACTCAACCCTCTCCCTTCCAAGGGGCCCCCGTGAAGACAGCCAGGCGCAGGGGCAGGAGACTCTATTCACAGCAAGTTCCAGAAATAGTGTGTATGGAGAGAGGGAAAAGTGCTTGGGAAATTTCCCACCATCACGCACAGCTTTGGTGGTGCTGGTGAGGGGAGGATGTCCAGGGCAGAAAAAAAGAAGAAGAAAAACAGCAAGTGCTTTCTCCAAAATAGAGAGGGGAAAATGACTCCTTTCTAATTTTGTCAAGCCTTCTTAATGTGTGCCTTAAATAATAAATCTAGGGGCTGGAGCGATAATACAGCAGATAGGGCGTTTGCCTTGAATGAAGCCAACCTGTGTTCGATTCCAGGCATCCCATATGGTCCCCTGAGCACCGCCAGGAGTAATTTCTGAGTACAAAACCAGGAGTAACCCCTGTGGATCACCGGGTGTGATCCCCCCAAAAACTGAAAAATAGAACTACTGTTTAATGACAAAATGATTTTGGAGCACAGTAATGGCAGTCCGAATAATGCACAACATACGTGGTTCAGGGGTACAGACGTGGCTAGCTATCATATACGGTGGTGGGAACCTGGAATAATATGATAAACTTGAATGAAAATGTTTTCTAGACACACTTAATATGTGTACTAGTAGCAAATAGCCCCGAACAACAAATAAACAATGGCAGTTTCAAACATGAGCCCCAACTGCCAAGGCAGCTGCTGGCCAGGTGATTATTTGCAATCCATCAGCTCGTTTCTGAACCTAAACCCCAGTGTGGAAGGAGTCCCATGTGGTCAGTGTTTATTTCTGGGGTTTTCCCTGAAATCCTTCTAGAGTTCTGTGATTGTGCTGATGGTTTGTGGATGCTTCCATCCTTCTCAATCGCTCTCACACCCAACTCAAGACCTTCTCCAAAACATTTATTATATTAACCATGTATGAAAAATACGCATACTCTTAGGAAAGTGGGAAGAAAAGCAACTTGAGAAAAATGAACAATTGTTTATAGGTAGTGTCCTGAAAAGAGCAACATCATGTTCCAGCTGCAAGAAAAATCTACCTCTTCGTTCCCAGTCTATAGATATACCACAGGCTGCAAAAGGCAAGGGAGAATTTGTGAACACCCTTAGGCAGCTTCCAGTATCATCATTCCACTTTGTCCTGAACTGAGTGAGTCCCTGTGTCCCTCCATTGCCCCCACCCCGACATACAAATGTTAGTAATTAGTTTTACCTAGCTTGACATTTGCAGAACAATGGAATAGATTTGGTATTTTATACCAAGTAGAGTTGTTACTTTCTGTTTGAAGGACTCCTCTTTCTCCAGAAAAGTTCCCAAACATCTGTCTCACCTTCATCCCCAGTCACTTCCTATCAGGCATCTGGTGGGACCCAGATATGAAGTGCTTTCCTTCAATTGTTTTTGGGGGAACTGTTAAAACGTTTGCAGGGACAGACACAGCTCCATGACGCTTGATGGATCTCTGTGTCACTCAGTCTGGGTGAACCAGACAAAAATCTAAACCAATGGAGGCGCCCTTTTTCTAGAAGGTCGCAGACAGGACTCACCCAACCCCGAAGCTGATTCCCGCTCACCAGGAGGAAACATAGTGTTTACTGAGCAATTTACAAATGCAAACAGAGCAAACCTGAGGAACAGCTCCACAAAGAATCCTCCACAGACAGACTTCTTGGGTGTATAAACTAATGATAAACATCTTGGCTATCTTTGGAACACACAGCGTGGGTAAATATACATGTACCCATTTACCCATTTAGGACTGGTTAACTCAAAATGACCCAAGAATCGTCAACTTTCATTCCTCCCACAAGCATCACTGAAGAGGAAATCAGATAAAAGTACTTAAAAATACACTGAAGGTTTTTATCACCCAGAAAAAGGACAAAGGGCTAGACTTTGTGCACCAAATGCACTAGATACAAACCAAACACACACACACACACACACACACACACACACACACACACACACACACACGCTATACAACATATACATTATGTGGGAAGCTCATACTTTTGCTGTAAAATGTCAACAAAAAATTGTATTTTTTCCCTTAATTTGGCCTGGGGGAAACTTGGTCAAGGGAAAGTTAGGCAAAGTCCCGAGATCTGGGCGGTTTTGCAAGTCTCTTCACTGTCAGAAGAGGAGGGAAAATGAGACAACACCGCCCCCGTTCCCCTTCCCCCCAAAGTTTATGGATTTTCAAGGTACCTAATCAACCTGATAGATTTGGCAGCACATAGGTAATAAAAAATGTGACTTTCAGGGCACATCGCAAAGGTGGTATGGAAAGCCTCTAAACTCTACGAAATCTGATGCCAATCTAAAACTACCCCCAATAAATATTTTATTATAATCGTCCCTTCCACCTCCAAACTGACGAACGCCGCGTGCAAAGAGCAAAGACTCCCTTCCTAGAGCTCCAGGGTTCGGTCCCAGCGTTGGGGTGCAGGAAGGACACCCCGGGGCCGAGACTGCAGCTGGCCGCGCTCGCTTGGGCGCCGCCTGGAGCCGAGTCCCCTCCCTGGAGCCGCCGGGACGCCGGACTCTGCCCCCGGGCGCGCCCTGCGGGGCGGGGCCCCGAGGTGCCCGCGGCGGAGCCTTGGGGCCGGGCGCAGCAGAGCCGGAGGGGAGGAGTAACCCGGGGACCCCCGCGCTGGTCTGCGCGCCCCATAAGGTAGGCGAGCCCCTGCGATCCGGCCGGGCCCGGGTCCTCGGAGTGCCGTCTGGCGGGGTCGCACCCCCAGAGCGGCTTTGAGCCAAGGGCCTGGCCCGGTTGCATGCTCGGTGCTGGACGGAGAGACCGTTTCTCCCTGCGGGCTGCAGCGTGGGGCTCGGCTTTCCGGGTCTGCAAAGTTCCCGCTGTCCTGGGACAGAAAGATCTAGTTTACTTGGTGCTTTCCCTTCCGCGTCGCAGGCCCCTCTCATTGGATACTAAGGTTACTTGCTTGTTTTTTTCCTTCGGAGTCGCAGGCCCCTCTGATTGGTATTTTGGTTTGCTTTTCTTCATCAACTTTATCAAGGAACCTCCCCCCACCCCCACCCCCCCCTCCCCACTCCCCCCGGATTTCTGCCCGCCAATTCCCAGACCCTGCTAATTCCAGGGCCACAGGGAGAACCTGGGGTCAGCTGTGAGCCCCCCACGCCGGCAGCTCCAATGGGGCCCTGAGCCCAGCAGAAAGAGCAGAAAGGAACGAATGAATGAAGGTGGCTGCCAATTCTTGATTTATTCTTGGCGGCTTCTGGAGCTGCAGCTGTGACAAAAGACCTGCTTTTTGGATGGTCGTTTTCTGCTGTTAGGGGATGCGGGTGCTGGACGTTAACAGAACACTAGGTAGGCCTGCAGAAGGGTAAGGTGCTAAGGCACTGTCCATGTGAACCGTGGACAGGGGAGACAGTGACTAAGGGGGGGGGGGGAGGGGGCTGTGAAATGTTAAGTCTTCTTCGACAGCCTCATTGTACAGGGCCTATGAGGCTCAGGAGACGCGATTAGCCCACAACAGGCCACTGGAGCTGGGTGTATCCCTTATCAGCCTGTTGTTTCATTTTAGGAATCAAAACCTTTCGACTTGGTTGGATGGAGACAAGATGAAGCATCAGAACACAAAAGGGAATTATTTGGCTTTTGCAAGAAGGAGAAGATAGTCTCTCCTCTGATTTTTGCCGAATGCTATTTAATATTTAGTTCCGTCCAAGTCTGCTTTTTCAGAAATTTGATCTGAGCAGGAGTATCAGGTGTTTTGGCAGACACAAATGGTGCTTTTGTTTTCTGTTTCTGGGCTTCTCAGCTCAGTTGAGAGTTAAGGAATGGCCTTGACACAGGATTTGTATGGAACGCAAGAAATACTTGAGAATATGCAGACGGAACTGTATCAGGCTACACTTCCTACAATCCAGGCAGATTTCCTAAGAAGAACCCCAATTTTGCGATGCGGCACAAAACTATTGCTGAGAGCATGAAAATATGTTTAGCAGCTAGCCTTCTGTTAAAAGGGATTTTTGATATAGCATTTGGGCTATATTTTTCACATTTATGGTTTCATGGATTAGGGATTGGCATTTAAATCGGTATATTTATGTACAATATGCTGGAGAAGGTGGGCTTGAGCTCTTGTTTCAATTATGGACAAAGCTGAGAAATATAAGTTAGATTTGAATAAAGCTGAAACAAATGAGATGCTAGCTGTTTGGTAGAATGACTAAAAAGGGAAAGAATGGAAGAGTTTGAAGGGAGTTTAGAAATATTTAAGGAAATTATTTTAGGGCCTGAGAGATAGTACAGTGGGTAAGGTCTTGTGAGTGGATGACCCAGCTTCTATTCCCAACAACCCATATGTTCTCCAAGCACCACCAGGAGTGAGCCTCTAGCACAGAAACAGGAGTAAGCCCTGAGCACAGCTGGGTGTGGCTTAAAAAAACAAACAAAAATTAAAAAATGAAGTAGTAAAAAAATCTTGAAAACATACGTGGATAAAAGTTATATGAACACTTATGATTTAGAAAATGATAGTAGGGAAACAGTCTACTGGTGCATTAATACATTTTAGTGAGTTTGCATTTTACTAAGAATGAAAACTATCACCTACATGGGTTTGGAAAACAAATCAAAGCTTGAATGTGTGGAGTTTAGTTTTAGAAAATATTGGGTACAACTGTGGATTTTTGTGGTTTTTTTGCATCTACTAGAGCAGGACTTACTGAGCGTGTCTATCCTGCAAGATCTCTGAGAGGATGCTGTATTTTAAGTGAACACAGGGATGCAGTTCTGTATAAATCAGACAGTTCCTAACCTCACAGAGTGTATGCAGCATTGAATTTCCGCATATTAGGGACCTCACCAACCACCATCCATCAAATTAATAGACTTCATTTAGTTTAACATCGCAAACTTTCTTACACTGTTTAATATAGTCATATCTCATGATTGTAAAGGGGCGTGTAGACCAATGGGATTTTTTTGTTTTGTTTTTTGCTTAGATTCAAGAAATTAAACCTTAAATGGCTCTCAATTTTATGCACTTAATCACTTAAATCACTTAACTTCCCGTTAGCCGTCGATTTGCTCGAGCAGGTGCCAGTAACGTCTCCATTTGTCCCTGTCGCGTGCTAGTGTAGCCCAATGGCATCTGTTCGCTCCGGGAACATGAAGAACCTCAAACCGATCGTTCATGATCTTGACGAAGAAGTCTGACCATCTGGTAGGTGGGCGGCCACGCGGTCTTTTGACATCCCTTGGAATCCAGTCGGTAACAGCTCTAGTCCAGCGGTCGTCTTTAAATCTCATTACATGACCAGCCCATCTGATTTTCGACACCTTGGCAAATGAGACAGCATCTCTGATTCTTGATCGTCGACGGATGTCAGAACTCCGGATTCTTTCTCTCATTTGAGTGAAACGTGATATTCCAAGCATAGCTCTTTCTATTCTTGTTTGGGAGACCTGAATAGCGTTCTCATCTTGTTTGCGTAGGGCCCAGGTCTCTGAGGCATATGTTAATGCAGGAAGAACAGTGGAATCAAAGAGATGTGCCTGGAGCCGGAGGTTCTTCGTCCTCTTAGCTATTTCTTTGACGTTCTTGAAGGTGTTCCAAGCCGCTCTCTTCCTCCTGTGCAGCTCGGGTGCCAGGTCATTTGTCATGTTGACCTCTCGACCTAGGTACACATAGCTGTTGCATTCGGAGATGGTCGTTCCGTTGAGAGAGAATGGGGCGTCAGGAACGAGGCTGTTTCTCATAAACATTGTCTTCGTAAGATTCAGCTGTAGTCCTACCTTTCCACACTCACGGTCAAGGTCGGCCAGCATTTGTGCCGCTTGGCTGATGTTTGGTGTTATTAAAACAATGTCATCAGCAAAGCGGAGGTGGTGTAGTTGCCGACCATCTATCTTCACTCCCATTCCTTCCCATTCCAGTCGTCGCATGATGTTCTCGAGGGTGGCACTGAAGAGTTTCGGTGAAATGGTATCACCCTGCCGCACCCCTCTCTTGACATCAACGATCACTTCTTTGTAGAATGGTGAGATCCTGGTAGTGAATCCACAATGAGTGAATCCTGGTAGTGAATTAGCAGTGAGCCCGAGCTGCGCCGAGCGGTGGAGTCACATCTCAGGCGCGGGAGATCCAGCTGCAACATCTGCACCTGCGGCGGCGGTGGCCGCGGCACCTGCACCAGCTCCCTGGCTCCGTGCTGTGCTCTCCGCCCCTCCGCGCCGGGGGCCGCCGCCCCGCATTCTCTATGGATGTCAAGGTGGCCCCCAATGGGGTGGCCACCATCGAGGACCGGATTCTGCGTATCACCGGCTACTACAGCTATTACCCGGGTTACTCTAGCCAGAAAACCATCGCCACACTCCAGGACGCTTTCCGGACCCGCGCGGCAGCTCCGGCCGAGACCCACGCACAACTGAAGACCCACAGAACAAGATAAGCAGAACTCTCTGAGACCTTGGACTCCAGGCTCAGTGGACCCAGGGACAGAGCTTCTCTGCTTGCTCCCACCAACCACAGGTGACAAAGGGATTCTAATCAGGAGCCCCACCCTACCCTGCCCTGTCTGCTTCCATCAGCCACCCAGGGATCGAATTTCGCACAGGAGACCCACCCTACCCAGATAAATACCCCACTGGCAGACTTCCACTATCCACACTACTTCCACTATCCAATTTTATGCAAATTAATTAAAAGCCAATCTGAAAAAGCCAGTAAATTAGTGGGGAACAGTCAATGAACAAGAAACTTTAAGGAAAGTTCTATTTGTCAAGTTGCTATTTTCCTTAACATTATGAAAAATGAACTGCAATGATATGTTACCTCAGATGGAAAGAGTGATTCTGTTAAAGTTATATTGCTGTTTTATTTCAAAGTGTAGCTTAATTGGAGCTATAGTCACATACCATAAAAATCTATCCAAATGTACAATTTAACCATTTTTTAGAACATTTTCACAATTGTGCAACCATCACCACAATCTAATTTTAGGACATTTCTATTATTCAGAAAGGTATAGCATTGTGTTTGCTCTCCCCATTCTTATCCACAGATCCAGACAACCCTAATTATGCCTCTTCAGATTTGACTTTTTTGGTCACTTCAGTCAAATAGAATGACACAATATTTGGTCTTTAGAATGTAACTCTTTTCACCTAGAACTGGTTTTTCAATGGTAGAAAAACTACCATTGTAGCATACATTGGTAGTTCCTTCCTTCCTTCCTTCCTTCCTTCCTTCCTTCCTTCCTTCCTTCCTTCTCTCCTTCCTTCCTTTCCTTCTTTTCTTTTCTTTTCTTTTCTTTTCTTTTCTTTTCTTTTCTTTTCTTTTCTTTTCTTTCTTTCCAACAAACATCCATTCCATCTTATGACAGTGCCACACACATTTTGTTCATTACTTGGAGGACATTTGATAAGACAGATACTTTGTTCCGCCTTCCATGGTAACATAATCCGAAAATAACTGATAGTAGCCAAATTCCCCTGATGTTTATGAAAAATACATTTCTGGCATGTTTACTGGTATTTCCTCATACACATCTGTGATTAGTCTATGGCACTCTTATGAAATTGTCAACCCCATCCAAGTAGCAGGAAACTCAGTCATTTAGTATTTTGGGTTGGATTCGGAACATCTTTAATTCTTGATAGTAAAGAACATGGCTAAATTTCATTTCACAAACAAGTATTTA